AAAGAAAGTGGACAACTGTTCAGTGAATTGAGCAGAAGTTGTTTTATTGGAAGTTACAGTTGGTATTTATCTTCAAATTTTACACAGACAGTCTCACAAGTCTTTCACGTGAACACAAAGTCAGGTGCAGGAGGGGCGTCCCCTACCCACCAGATGTTTTCTCAGGTACGAGGAAGGACAAATCCCAAAATTGTCTTATTGTTCCCTTTGCTAGTTAATGCTCTTCAAAAGCAGTGCAACAATCCCTACTAGCATCATGATGTCCTGATAATCAATAACTTCTAAAGCTCATGTGCACACAACACCCATGATGACTAACTTAAATTTTATTACCTTTCTATTCTATGCTAATACTACTTACACAATGCTACAGAAGCTTAAGCCAACTCCTAAAGAAAGTGGCCCAGTCCAAAGATCACACTGGGCTCTACAGGATGTGGCCCAGTCCAAGGTTCATGGTGGGCCACTTTTTGGAACAATAGATTACAATCTCTTAACAAAATGGCTATTCTAAAGACCTATATATCTATCCTAATTTCTATGAAAGTTTCTAATTCCTAATCCCAATATATAAAGCTGATCACCAGCAACAAAGCTTCTAAAAATAAAACCCAAATATAAACTGTAAATGTACTAAGGCCAAAACCACAATAGTAGAAAATGGAGACAATGAAATTTCTAAAGTTAACTGTATTCTTATTAAACCTCAAAATATCATGATTGGTCATGCTTGAACTAACATGATTCCCTGACGTTAGCATGACCTACTCTACAATACTTTCTACGAATAAAATAAATTTAATTTCTATAATAGGTAGAAAAACCCTATACTAACTGTAGCTAAAGCCAGCCTAAAAGAATGCAGCCCAGTCCAAAGTACACGCTGGGCCCTCAGGAATGTGGCCCAGCCCAAGGTTTGTGCTGGGCCATTTCTGGTAACTCTAGATAATCATCTATACCATCTAAAGCTGAAAACAGCTCTCCATAAGTATATACTAATTCTACAAATATACTTTTAAATCTTATAAAGAAACTTGTACCGTATAAAAGGCTCCCAAATGTGACCTGAATTTGAATTATATCTAATACCTAAGCCGAAACCGCAGTTTATGGGAAATAGGAACAGTGAGTTTCTAGAGCCATGCCTGTCACAGTCACAGAGCCTTTAGCTTAGATCAGCAGAGTTCCTTTAGGTTACTTGTGCTGCATGGTAAAAGGAGGAGGAAAATGGGGTCAATGGCTCCCGAACACATCCTAGAGGTCTCGGGGTCCACGGCCCTCCCTGATTCCTCACACTCAGTGGGCCTCCGTGGCCGGCTCCCAACAATGCACACCAATACATTCTCCTTTTTGTTTTAGCTAGCTGGAGTTGGTATTCTATCTTACAACTGAAAACATCCTGATACAAAAAGCCATGAGCTCTAGTAGCCCTCCCTAGTATCTGGTGGTGACAAAGCAGAGCATTACTAGCCCTGCATTTCTGATGGTCACAAGAAACAAGATTATTATGGAACTTAGGGCCCATTGTCCTGGAAGAAAAAAATTGTGGGAATCATCCCCCACCTCCACTACATATATGAGGGGGACCCACAAAACCTGTAATTATTTTTTGGAGAGTGAGTCTTTTGCAACACAGGCTTTCCCAGCTAAGTAAGTGTTCTAGAACCCATTGGCATCAATGTACCAGCTAGCATTGTGAGAGGTTGCATTTTTTTTTTTGAGATTCTTTCAGTGTGTTTGCCCATTTCATGGGAGATTTATGAGTGTACTTGCCCACACTGCCACTGCGTGTTCAGCAGTTTTTGACTGAAAAAAGCAAGACCCCGTGCCCCATCTTCCCTAGTCACCCCATCTCTCCCCAAGCAACTTTTCTTTTGTTTTGTAAATGAAAAAAGTCCTCAAAGATAAACATTTGCTGATGTGGGAGAGGTGAAACAAAAAATGGCAGGAGCACTAAAAGGTATCAAAATTGACGAATTCAAAAACTGTTTTGAGCTGTGGAAAAAGCATCTTGATTGGGTGTATTGCATCAAACGGAGATCACTTTGAAGGGGACTGAAGATTAAACATGTAAGGATAAATAGTTTTTTATAAAGAAACTTTTTGAGGGTCTCCCCACATAAACCAAGCTGAGTAAACCCTTCAACCAAGCAAACTTGAAAACCACAGAAGCATCTGAAAAGTACAGGATGTTACTCAAAAGGTATGTGCTCTTAACAGCCTAGTTCAACATCCAAAATGCATGCTAGAGGGTGTTCTCTTCTTTTGCACAAACTTTTCTTATGAAGCTTTATGGGATTAAAATCCAGTTGTTTTAAATTCAGTCTGTTCCTACTACAAAGACCCCCAAAAGAAAACAAAACTTATATATAATTAATAGAACACTGTACAGAGAAAGTCTCAAATGGTAAGATAAAAACTTTAACCCATTATTGCATGAAAAGTGAAACTGATTCAAGAACAGAAGCCAATTACAAAAATATTACTCAAATTACAGATCTTTGGTAATAAACAACAATTTCCTTGGGTTCATTTTTAAGGATTCTTATAAGAATCCTTTTCCTAGGATAATAATTACTATGGATAATAATTACTACTAGGATAATATAATTACTATGACTCATTGGGGTTGAGATCATTAACATCTGCAAATCTTTTTCCTATTTATAATAGGTTATTCCTATCAAGTTAAACAATTCCAAGGCACCTACTATTTGTTAGGTACTGGTTCAAGGTAAACAAAGTTCCTGTCCCCATGGAGCTTATACTCTAGTGGATACAGAACAAAATTTGTTTTGTCCATCATTAAACTTCTGCTAAAGTCCTGACCTTACTTACATTTTTAAAGGCCTTTCCTGTGCATCCGCTATTGAAGGTGAAGCTTCTGACTGAAACTCATATTTTACCATTCTTATAGGGCTTCTCTGCTGTGTGTTCCCTTAAAACCATGACATTTTGAGCTCTGCCTAAAGCACTGGTTATATTCATACAAAAAATAGGCTTTCCCCAATGGAATTCAGATGATTATTTTAAAAATCTCAGCTCATGGCTAGGCATGGTGGCTCAAGCCTGTAATTCCAGCACTTTGGGAGGCCAAGGCGAGAGGATTGCCTGAGCCCAGAGACTCGAGACCAGCCTGGACAACTTGGTGAGACCTCATCTTTACAATAAATCAAAAAATAAGCTGGGTGTGGTAGTGTGTGCCTGTAGTTCCAGCTACTTGGAAGGCTGAGGTGGAAGGACTGCCTGAGCCCAGCAGGTCAAGGCTGCGGTGGCTGTGAGTGTGCACTGCACTCCAGCCTGGGCAACAGAGTGAGACTTCAACTCAAAAAAAAAAAAATCTCAGCTCACTTATAAATTCTTAGAACATGACATTTAATCAATACTCTCTGCTGCGTGGATTTTCTAAGGAAAATGAGCAGTCCAAGTCTTAAAGAACACCTTTACCACATTCATCACGTGTGTTGAATTTATCACCGTTATGAACTCTCCGATGAACCTGAAGACAGGAACTCTTACTAAAGCCCTTGCCACATGCAAAACATTTGTATGGTTTCTCTCCAGTGTGGACTCGCCGATGGGCTGGAAGATGTGAGGTCTGACTGAAGCTCTTACCACACATGCCACATTTATAGGGTTTCACTCCTGTGTGTATCCTCTGATGAACTTGAAGATATAAGTTCCAAATGAAGCCTTTCCCACATTCTTCACACCTGTATGGTTTCTCTCCTGTGTGGACTCTCTGATGGGCTTGAAGATGTGAACTTCAACTGAAGCCCTTACCACACACATCACATTTGTAGGGTTTCTCTCCAGTGTGGACTCGCTGATGGTCGTGAAGGTGTGAACTCCGACTAAAGCCCTTTCCGCATGTCTCACTTTGTATGGCTTCTCTCCTGTGTGAACTCTCTGCTGGCCCTGAAGGTGAGAGATCCAACTGAAGTCCTTGCCACGTGTGTCACATTTGTAAGGGTTTCTCTCCTATGTGGACTTGCCGATGGGCTTGAAGATGGGAATTATGGTTGAAGTTCTTATCACACACATCACATTTGTAGGGTTTCTCTCCAGTGGGGATTCTCTTATGAGCTTGAAGGTTTGAGGCCTTACTGAAGCCTTTACCACATACCTCACATTCATATGGTTTCTCCGCAGTGTGAATCTTCTGATGAAGACCAGAATTCAGATTAAATATTCCATCACATGCCTCCCATCTATATGTTTTGTCTATAGAGTGGGCGGTCTGATGGACTTGAAGTTGTGATATCTGACTTAAGCCTTTATCATACATAGCATATTTACAGACTCTCTCTCCAGTGTTGGCTACATAGTGAATGTCAAGATCTACGATGGAAATCCTCCCCACACCTGTTTTGTATACACAGCTTCTCTCCAGGTGAGAAAGCTCATGAGTTGGGAGAAAGGAGCTCTGGGCACATAGCTGGCATCTGCAGGGTTTCTCTCCTGTGCTGACTCTCTGAAGAGGTTGCAGATGCAAGCTCTGACTGAAACCTTCACTATGCTCATCACTCCTACGGCATTTCTGTCTTGTGTGGACACTCTGATGCATGGGAAGCACTGAGCTACAAACCATGGCTTTTCTATACTCAGTACCTACATGGGGCTTGTCTCCTAAGTGCAATTGCTGATGGAGCTGAAGATTAGAGCTAAAGCCTCTTCCATTCTCATCAGAGGCTTGCTTTCCTGGTTGAATTATACTACACTGGGATGATTTTTTCATAAAGTCTTTTCCACAATTATTGTGGCTAACAGCTTTCTCTCTTTTGTGTACTCTCTGATCATCACAGTGATGAGCAATCCTTTGTCTAACACAATGGTCACATTCAGAGAGTTTATTTTTTACATCAATTTGCTGACACTTACTCTGATAATTGTGTGACTCTCTCAGATACATTTTCCTCCAGAAATTCCAGGGGATCCTAATTGAAAACTCTTTATTTTTGATACTACTGGAACTCTCCCCTTGACATTTTATTACTTAGTTCTTATCTTCAGAAACCTGAATAGACTCTCCTGACCACACCCAGCAGAGAGAATCACCTGTTGTTTTGCTAACATGGACCTCTTGCCTTGAAGATTTATTAGCAAGTCTTGATTTCCAGTTAATTTCCTTGTAAATTGTTTCCATATTTGCCAGCACATAAGGTCTTCAAGCGAAAGGTATTTTAATCCTACTTCATGAAGAACCTCTATCTCATTTTGATTCCTGTGTCCTGGAACGATACATAGAATTCAGAAATGAAAATGAGAACAAGTGAATGTTTGCTCAGAGACAAAAACATTTCACAGGTTGATCACATTGGGGGGCATTTTTCAACCAGTAGAGAATTCAGCTTGACTTTATCATTTTTTTATGCCTATGATTTTAAAAAAAGGCTGGTTCCTATCCACAAGTGCTAACGAGACTAAGTGCTATACCAAGACTTACGTATATGATCAAATACAGAGGCTACAGAGCAACAAAAAGATGCCCTAGAAAGATTTTTTTTTTTGAGTTGGCGTCTCACTCTGTCACCCAGACTGGAGTGCAGTGGCCGCTCCTGGCCACCGCAGCCTTGACCTGCTGGGCTCCGGCGATCTTTCTGCCTCAGCCTTCTGAGTAGCCAGAATTACAGGCGTGCGCTACCACGCCCAGCTGATTTTTTGATTTGTTGTAGAGATGCGGTCTCGCCAAGTTGCCCAGGCAGGTCTTGAACCCGCGGGCTCAAGCAATCCACTCACCTCAGCCTCCCAAAGACGCGGGATTACACGCTGAGCCACCGAGCCTGGCTCCTAGAAAGATTTTATAGAGAGGAAGCTTTCTCTCCTTATCCATAAGAATAATCACTTAAACATCTCTTAGCCAAGCATGGTGGCTTACACCTGTAATCCCAGCACTTTGGAAGGCGGAGACGAGAGGACTGCCTGAACCTAAGGGTTCGAGATCAGTCTGGGCAACTTGGTGAAACCTTGTCTTTGCAATAAATCAAAAAATTAGCTGGGTGTGGTGGTACTCACCTGTGGTGCCAGCTACTTGGAAGACTCAGGCAGAAGACTCACCTGAGCCTAGCAGGTCAAGGCTGTAGTGGCTGGGAGTGTGCCACTATACTCCACTAACAAAGTGAGACTCTGTGTCAAAAAAAACCCAGTCTTCTCTCTTCTGCAGCACGTGTATAGAATCTACAAAATCCTAGCTATCTGTAAGCCTCAAAATCTTGGTTGCATTGTACAACCTGCACGTCAGTCATAGAAGCCAGTATATGGCGAGCTATCCAAAATGGCAAGAAAAGCCTGAATCTCTCCTTCAGCATTTACAGCTGGTTTATCACGTGATGCCAAGAGTTTCCAAGGAGAGAAAGAAGGGGCATCCTTAGTAAAAGTGAAGAGAATATATTTGCAAAGGAAAACATCTCCTCTGACTTGATAATGAGCCCATAAGATAGTACATTTATCTCCTTAATTTAGCCCTTAAACATACACATTAGACAAGCTAGATTTGAAAAAATTCTCCTTCATTTCAATGGAGTTCTAGTATATAATAATCAATTGGTAAACATTTTAAATGGAAAAAAATTAGAAAACTTATTCTCATAACTGACACATTCTATGGAAGTAAAAGGACTGATAACTGTTGCTACTTAATTTGGCTGAATTTTCTGATACATCCAAATGGCTAATATTATCCTTTAGGTTTCGTAAATGAGGATCTGCATGTACCAAAAAGTGCTGTGGTAGCCAGCACACAAGATGGTTTCCAGTGATCAATGTTTCTTGGTATTTACAACCTTTTAAAGTTCCCTCCCACATTGTCTCAGGCTTTGTCTGTGAAACCAATAGAATATGGAAAAAGTGATATTATGTCACTTACAGGGCTAGGACAGAAAAGACATTGTGTCTTTTGACTTTCACACGCTTGGGTCACTTTGTCTTGTGGAAACCAGTTGCCATGTTTTGAGGACTGGCAGCCCTGGGGAGAAGTGCACTTGTAAGAAACTGAGGCCTCCTGCCAACAGCCATGTGAATGATTCTACCTTGGAAGCAAAACCTTCATTCTAGTCAGTTCTTCAGAGGATGACAGCTCTAACAGAGTACTTGACAATCACTTTTTGAGATTCTGAGCCAGAATGACTCAACTAAGTTGCTCCCAGATTCCCCTGTGAGCTTTCTGTTTTGTTTTTGTTTTATCCTTAAGGAAAAAGAAGTTCTTTAATTTGTACTTCTGTGTAGAGAAAACAGACCTCAAGAATATTTTGTATAGATGGAGCGGGGTATCCAGATGGACAAACAGAACACAAAATCCTGGGACGGAATACAAAATCTGTGTTTGAAAACAAAACAAAACAAACACTAGATAAGGCAGGTGAAGAGGTAAATCCATTTGTCAAACCTCATCAAACTGTACACTTAAAAAGCATATATGTAAATTTTACCTCAATAAAAAAGAACTGTAAAACAAATAAGAAGCCATTTTACATTCTGAAAATGTAGGGGGCTATACATTTATAATATGTACAGTTTTCTCTATACAAATATATTCCAATAAAAAGTTGGCCCAAAATTTAAAAAAGTAAAGATGTTCTCAAAGACGCAAAACCATTGGGAAACTACCTATTAAGTAAAAAGACCTGCCTGGGCAATTTGGTGAGACCTCATCTCTACAATAAATAAAAAAATCAGCTCGGCATGGTAGCGCGTGCCTGTAATTCTGGCTACTCGGAAGGCTGAGGTGGAAAGATCACCGGAGCCCAGCAGGTCGAGGCCGTGGTGGCCGGCAGCGGCCACAGCACTCCAGTCTGGGCGACAGAGTGAGACTCCAACTCAAAAAAGAAAAAAAAAAGAAAAGAAAAAAGACAACAGCAATAACTGGATCAAAATTCCCAAGTTTAGATTTGTATACAAAAATGAGAGAGTCAGTCAAGGAAGCTAGCATCCAACATTCCTAACTGCATTAAACCTTCATACAGCATGAAGACCAAAAAAAGAAGAAAAAAAGATTAGAAAGTTTTACCCCCCAGCTATTCACAAAATCCAGGGGCTACCCTATCAGATAAGCAGAGCTGGGTTTTTTTTGTTTTTTTGTTCTGTTTTGTTTTGTTGCTTGTTTGTTTAGTTTTTTTGTGCTTATATTCAGTAGGAATGACTATCATTCCCATATTTTAGGCTAGGGATATCTGAGGAGTATACAAATTAAAGGCAAATGAAAGAAGGAGTGAAGAAAAGGGGGAGTGAAAGAAGGAAGAGACAGAATAGACTGAGAGGTAAGAGTAGAGGAGGGTGCTGTCACTGGGTGTATGGATGAGCAACTGTCACTAAAGGTGACACAGATGTCACAGGTTGGGGAGAGCTGTGAGGGAGCTCTTCACACGATTCAAATGGGACCACCTACCCATTCATTCATTAACCCATTCATTCACTCATCTAGTCATTCACTTAGCAAATATTTAATGAACACATACTATGTGCCAAAACTAGTAAAGGCAATGAAGATAAGCAATAAAGAAAATAGGTGAAATCCCTGCTGTCAAGAAGTTACACTCCAGTAAGGAGAGAAAAACCATGAACAAGCAACTGAAATATACGTGAATGTGTCAGCTGGTGATTAATGAGGAATCTCAAAATCAGGCAGAGTAAGGGGATGGGTATTTTAAACAGGATGGTCAGATTAGGCTTCTGTGCTGAGATGATGTTTGAGCAGACACAAATGAAATAGGCAGGGAGCTGGGAGGATGTATGGGATAAGAACATCCCAGGCAGATGGAAGAGCAAGACTTCAGGTGGAAAGAACACACTCAGCATGTCTGAGAAACAGACAGCAATCCCGTGTGATTTTTTACTGAGTAAAGGGCAAAGGATAGAAAATCAATGCAGAGAGGGAGTGGGCAGCCAGATCATGTAATGTCCTGAAGGCCTGTGTAGATTTTAGATTTAATGAGTGAGACAGGAAGTCACAGAAGGGTTTGAGCCAAGGAATGACAGGATCTGACTTACATGATCTGGATGCTGTGTAAAGAATGGATTGTAGGAAGGCAGTAGAAATAGGAAGGCAGTGGACCAGCTGCTGCTTTAATAAAGCAGAGTGATGAATGTTGGGGGATTGGGCCAGGCTGGTAGCCAAGGAGGCAGTGAGGAAGATACTGGGCTACACCCTGCAATGACTCAGAGCTGCATGGTTCTCACCTGAATACCCATCTCCTTGGGTTTCTGTCTCCATCATTGAAAACTTCTCTTCTCTTACCAACCATAATACCATGTCTAGGCTGAAGGGTTGATAGCCTGAGAAAAATCAGTGACATATGGTAAAGTGAATGAATTATGGACACAAATTGTAATTCCAATACTATAATCTTCATGCACTCGAAGTAGTAGCTTTCAAAATTCTGATCTTGACCTATTGTCTAAATATGTTTTAAACAGATCTTGTACACAGATGATCTGAACCTGACCTTTTTTGTGTGTGTTGTAGTCATACTCTGTCGCCCAGAATAGAGTGCAGTGGCACCCTCCCAGCCACTGCAGCCTCGCCCTGCTGGGCTCCGACGATCCTTCCATCTTACCCTTCCAAGTAGCCGGAACTACAGGCGCACGCTACCACGCCTGGCTAACTTTTGATTTATTGCAGAGACGAGGTCTTGCCAAGTTGCCTGGGTGGGTCTTGAACCCACGGGCTCAGGCAATCCACTCATCTCAGCCTCCCAAAGTCCTGGGATTACAGGCTGAGCCACCAAGCCAGGCCTGAACCTGACTTTTATCACAGCTCCTTTCCTGTTTTTCTCACAATTCTTGTTGCCCTATCTGCAGTTCCTGATAAGAAGGTATATTTCTATTCTACTCCATTACACACAATAATAGTGTAATTTACCAACTGATTTTAAACCCCTCCAACTGCAATTTGAGAAAGATAGACAAGGTATAGAGAATGTACCCCTCAGGAATTAGGAAGTTCAGATTCCCAAATTCAGGGGAGCATTTCAAGCATTCCATTCCAAAGTCTTAAATACTTGAAACCAAGACACCCCAGGGTGCTGACATTCAGTTACAGAAGTGCCTGTCCTTACCCACTGAGAGCAGGTTCCCGAAGTTCTCTAGTACCACATCTTGGTACAGCTTCCTCTGGGCAGAGTCCAGCAGTCCAAGATCCTCCTGGGTGAAGACCATAGCCATGTCCTTGAAGGTCACTGTCTCCTACACATCAAGCACACATACCTCAATCCTATGACCAACATCCATTGGGAGAGACAGTACTGAGCAGGGAGAAAGGACAGGTAGAAAGATGTTCTGGATTCTGGGGGCCTTGAGTCAATTATAAGTAGTTTCTCCTCTTCTCCATCCCACATGCCAATTCCATAGACTAATTTTCACAGTCACATCAAAAATATGCACAAGACCAGGCTCGGTGGCTTAGACTGTAATCCCAGCACTTTGGTGGGGCTGAGGCGAGTGGATTGCCTGAGCCCATGAGTTAGAGACCAGCCCGGGCAACTTGGCAAGACTTCGTCTCTACAATAAGTAATTAGGCTGGGTGTGATAGTGCTAGCATGCCTGTTGTTCCAGCTACTTGGAAGGCTGGGGTGGAAGGATTGCCGGAGCCCAGTTGGTCACTGGGGGGCCATGAGTATGCCACTGCACTCCAGCCTGGGTGACAGGGTGAGACTCCAACACAAAAAAAGAAAAAAGTATGCAAACTAAAAAATAGCCTCTGTATATTTTACTTGGTGCCATTTGTGAGAATTCTAATAGTAAATGCCCTAGAACTATAATTCTTGTATCATGGGATATATATATATATATTATAATTAGACTGATACTGCCAAATTGTTCTACAATGTTATGTCAATTTAAAGCTCAGTGTGGTGACTCACGCCTGTAATCCCAGAACTTTGGGAGACAAAGGCGAGAGGACTGCCTGAGCCCAGGGGTTCAAGACCATCCTGGGCAACTTGGCGAGACCTCGTCTCTACAATAAATGATAAAATAAGAAAAAAAAATAGCCGGGCATGGTGGCACATGCCTGTGGTTCCAGTTACTTGGAAGGTTGAAGTGGAAGGATCACCTGAGCCCAGATCGAGACAGTGGTAGCTGCGAGCATGTCACTGCATTCCAGCCTGGGTGACAGAGTAAGACTTCAACCTTCACCCCCCCAAAATGTTTAGTCCCAGCAGGATCTGACAGTTTCTGTCTTTCCTTTCTCCTCCACATATTTACTAAGCCTGTATACTCTCATTCTGTTATGATACGACAAACCAACAGGCCTTCAGTTACCCCTTCTAGAAAATTATGCCATTGGTCCTCTGTGCTCTCAAGGCACATGCCATCTATCTATGACACTATCTGTGACAGTATTCTGTGTCAAATTTCACCGTTTTTCATGCCAGAATATGGTTGCCACCCGTTATCCACTGTTGTGCTTCCCATGATTTATTGCCCCTATCAACCATGGTCTGAAAACATTAAACGGAAAATTTGAGAAATAAACAATTCATAAGTTTTAAATTGTGTGCCATTCTAAGAAGTGTAACGAAATCTCTTACCACTCCACTCCATCCACCCAGGACATAAATCATCTCTTTGTCCAGCACATTCACACTGTTTGTGCTACCCACCTGCTAATCACTTAGTAGCCTCCGTTTATCAGATCAAAAAAACAGTATATATAGGGTTCAGTACCAACCTGTGGTTTTAGGCATCCGCTAGGGGTCTTAGAACATATCCTATATGGATAGAAGGAGACTGCTGCACCTCGGGTTAAACCCCAAAGTCTGCCCCTTACTATGTGACCTTAGACAGACACAAGCTTCAGTCTCTCAATTTCCTCATGTATACAATGGTACCCATATCAGAAGATTCTTTTGTTTGTTTGAGTCAGGGTCTCACTCTGTCTCCCAGGCTGGCGTGCAGTGGCACAGTCATGGCTCTCCATAGCCTTGACCTCTTGGGCTCGGGTGATCCTTCTACCTCAGCCTCCTACACAGCTGGGACTACAGGTGAGTGTCATCACACCTGGCTAATTTTTTTTTTTTTAATTTATTGTAGAGATGATGTCTCACTATGTTGCTTAGGCTGGTCTCAAATTTCTGGGCTCAAGCAATCCTCCTGCCTTATCCTCTCAAAGTGCTGGGATTATAGGTGTCAGCCACTGTGCTCTGCCCAGAAAATTTTTATACAGATAAATGAATGAGTATACATGAACTTCTTAGAACTGTGCTGTCTAGTTTAACAGCCACTAAGTCACATGTGGCTATGTAAATTTAGGTTAAGTAAAAATTAAGCACAATCTTAAAGTTCATTCTCTCAGTTGTACTAATCACATTTCAAGTGCCCACGAGCCACATGTAGCTAATGATCACCGTACTAAACAGCAGAGTTTAGACCATGTCCATCATTGTGGAAGTCCTACTCAACAGCACTGTCTTAAAACATATGCCCGGCACATAGTAGGTCCTCAATGGATGTTGGCTTTTAGTCATGTAAGTATGTATTTCACCCCATTTCACTCCTGTTTAGTAGCTTATGTGATACATGACTTACACATGACCTATAATGCACAATGAATTTAGATGTTTAATGTTATAGGCAATGCTGCAAGGAACATCCAGTCACATCATTCTTGGCTCATTTCTCTTTCCTAGAATTTATCTTAAGGAGGAAAAAAGTCAGTGCTGAAGAACACAGACCTGTGAAATTTGCAAGTGTAATGACATACACTCCTTCCAAATGATTCCTATCTTATCTATACTTCAAGCAACTACTAAGTGTTCCCTGAGTTTTTACAACCTGGCTAACCCTGGGCATGATAATCTCCTTAAATCTTTGGTAATTCAATAAATAAAAAGAGTTCTTTAAAAAATGTCCAGGTAGTTGGCTATTAGTAAAGACCATCATCTTTTCTTTTTTCTTTTTTTTTTGTTAATTTTTATTTTATTTTAAAGATGTGGGGTACAATTCAGGATTAGGTATACAAATGTGCATTACGCAGGTATCCCTGTTGATGAGGTGTGCACTTCCCTCCTCTGGAAGTTTCCCTCAACTGCCAATCCCTTTCTTACAGTATTGTGATAACTGTTCAGGGTCCACTTGTGGGTGAGAACATATGGTACTCTGTTCTTTGTTTCTGTGATAGGTCATCACATTTTCATATATTTCTTATAGTTCCCGGCAATCTTCTATTGTGACTTGCCTTTAAAAAATTTTTTTCACCATATTCCCATTGGGATTTTGATTGTTATGAGCTTGTAAGATTCATTTTTAGGATAATTCATTTTCTAACATACATGTTGTAAATATTTTCCTTCCAGTTTCCATTTGTCTCATACCTGTGTATAAGGTGTCTTACTGGGGGGAAATTTTGAACATTTATTTAAATACTGAGCCTACATTTATTGTGGCTGGATCCCTGAGCACACAGGTACACTAAATGAGCAATTATCACATCCACTGAGGAAAGAACCAGGTAAGAGGCAGCTTTATCTGTGCTGTCCTCCTTAGAAAGAACATGCCAACCACACTCCCTGAATGCAGAAGTATCTTTTTTGCTCTGTATCTTTTCACCTAAATGGAACACCTGGTAGGGGTCTTAGAGACGGCTTGACCCTTGTGTTTTTGTGTGCCCTAGCAAAGGGTGGGAACCATCATGAACACTCTCTCTTTGTGTTTAAAATGAAGCATGGAACCAATTTCAAGTTTACTCTCATACATTTGCTCTGAGCAGTAAATGCAAGGACAAATAGAAGGTGCCAAAAAGTACTACAAAACTACAAGACATTTTAAAACAAGTACACTGTTTTATTTTGACAAATTAACACAACACATATTAGCACGCACACACACACAAACACGAAAACTCTAAACCACTGAAAAGAAAGAAAATAGCTCTTCCAGCACTAACACATCTAACAGTGTTATGCCTGAGTTCAGCATCAGACATGGGTGTACCAAGTCATATTTGTTCTTTCCACAAAACATCCAAGGCACCACTTTGCGGGGCAGGGTGGGAAGTGAGGGCTAAGTTTGAAAAGGTCAAATTATTTCAGAATTCCTAAATTTTTTTTTTACTTTTCATTTTAAAATAATTATTGACTCAAAGGAAAGTGCAAAGATATTACACAGAGATCCTGTGCGTGCTTTACCCAGCTACCCCCAGTGGTTACATCTTATGCAACTACAGGAAGTACTGTATCAAACCCAGGAAACTGATATTGGTATAATGTGTTTATGTATAGTTCTATGTCTTTTTTTATTTTTATTTTTTTGAGTAGGAGTCTCATTCTGTTACCCAGGTTGGAGTGCAGTGGCACGCTAAGGCCACCGCAGCCTCAACCTACTGGGTTCAGGTGATCCTTCTGCCTCAGCCTTCCAAGTAGCTGAAACCACAGGCATGCGCCACCATACCTGGGTAATTTTAAAAATTTTATTGTAGGGACAAAGTCTCGCCATGTTGCCCAGGCTGGTCTCAAACCCTGGACTCAGGCAATCCTCTCGCCCTGGCTTCCCAAAGTACTGGGGATTACAGGCGTGAGCTACCACACCCTGACCCAGTTCTATGTCTTTTAATCACATATGAAGCCAGACTCAGTGGCTCAGCCTGTAATCCCAGCACTTTGGGAGGCTGAGGAGAGTGGATTGCCTGAGCCTGCGGGTTTGAGACCTGCCCAGGCAACTTGGCGAGACCTCGTCTCTACAATAAATCAAAAATTGGCTGGGCATGGTAGCACGCATGAGAGAAGGATCGTCAGAGCCCAGCAGGGTGAGGCTGCAGTGGCCAGGAGCATGCCACTGTAACTGCACTCCAGTCTGAGCAACAGAATGAGACTCCAACTCAAAAAAAAAAAAATCACATATGATTATTGACATCATCACCATCACCATCAAGACAATAACTAATTCATCACCATAAAGATCTCCCACCGAGCCGGGCTCGGTGGCTCAGCCTGTAATCCCACGCCTTTGGGAGGCTGAGGTGAGTGGATTGCCTGAGCCCGCGGGTTCGAGATCCGCCTGGGCAGCGAGACCTCATCTCTACAATAAATCAAAAAAAAATCAGCCGGGCGTGGTAGCGCATGCCTGTAATTCCGGCTACTCGGAAGGCTGAGGCGGAAGGATCACCGGAGCCCAGCAGGTCGAGGCTGCAGTGGCCGGGAGCGGCCACTGCACTCCAGTCTGGGTGACAGAGTGAGACTCCAAATCAA